ATTTTACCTTAATTATCTTGGCTATATTGTGTTATTTTCGCATAAACTATTTGTAATGCACTTAAGTCACTAATATTGTGCTTAAGCTAATTATGTTGTATTTGAGCTAAATTTCTTACACTTAAGCTAATAATGCAAATAAGGAATTGCTTGCATAATATACTTAAGCAAAATTTTATAGCTTAGGAGAACCTAGAGATTTTTAATACATTGAAGACCAGAGTAGGTTATATAAAGCATTTTTTGGCATCTATTCTCTACAAAAATTAATACCTTAAAAAGATTTTTCATTATGAAATAGTATAGGACATGTTTAAAATTCAAATTCAAATACTAGGCAAAATTGATTTCAAGTTAAATAAAATGTGGCTTAAGCAAAATTGAAATGCTTATAGATTTAACCTTTGCCTTGGCTATTCTGTGTTATTTTCACTTAAGTCATCTATTATTTGTTTAAGTTGTGTAGTATTAGCTTAAGTTGAAAAATTAGGAACCATGTGTCATTTAAGCTAAATAAAAATGCTTAAGCAAATTTGACCTTAATTGTATTGCTATGTTGTGTTATTTTCACTTAAGTCATTTATCCTTTGCTTAAGTTAATTAAAATATATTTAAACTGAAAAATTAAAAAACCATATATTGTTTAAGATAAATAAGAATTGCTTAAGTGAATTTGACCTTAACAGTATTAGTTATACTATGTTAATTTTAGTTAAACTAATTAAAATTTATTTAATCAATATAATATTAGTTTAAGTTTCTAAAAAAAAATAGGTATAATATATTAGGCATTTTTAGTGTTTTTATAATTAAAATTAAAATTTTATCTTAGTTAAAAAGTTATATTTAATAGAATTACATATTTTTTAAAAAAATTATTTTTAATTTAAAATAATTAAAAAATTACACATAAATTTTATTTCAAGATTATTATTAAAAATTACTCCTTCATTATTATTATTTTGGTGTGGCTATTTATATGTTCTGATTTCGAGAACAGAGAGTTTGATTCGTATACATGAGTATCATGGTGGAGCCTCTTGTCCCAACCATCTCTTACTCTTTTTATAAGGAAGAACTGCTCAGTATGTTTTGTCTTGGCAATAATCTACTAACAATTTCCTAATCCTTTCCCTCCAAATATTGTTTGTAATTGTATGTCTATCCTTTGCTCTTCGTTTTTCAAAATGCACTTTCAATTAAAAAAACCTTTTCCCCAATTATTTTAATCACAGTTCACTATTTTTCCAATGATAATTAGACGTCACGAGTGTGTATTAAGAGAGAATATAATACTAATTAATAAATTTTTATTTTACTAAATGAAGTCAGTTACAAAAATAACACAATACTACTAAATTCAATTAATAAGTAAGTTTTTTGTTATAAGTAAGTCTCTTTTAATTACTTTCTTCAAAGTTTATTTTAGTCTCTTTTTATTAAACTAAAATAATGTTATTCACTTTTAAATTAGTGTCTTTGATGACTTTTTTACATGTTTAAATTACCTTAATTGATTTTTATTATATTCTCTTCTTCAACATGTGTTATTCCAATATTTTATTTATGTTTATAATTATTTCTTATCATATCATTTTATACATCACTCCTTTATTTTTTTATTTCCAATTTTTTATACTTCTTACTTTTATTATTATTTTCAATTATTATTCATTACCATAAAAATAGTTAATCATATAATAACACACAGTTAAATTTTTTAAAACTGATAAATACTTTATAATTATAAATAACTCTAAATATTTTTATTCATTTTAGTTAGCCAGTTTATATATTATAATAAAATGAAACCAAATTTTGTCTCTAAATATTTGACCAAATAGGTTGCTAGACATTTAAACAAATGAAATAAAGTTATTAAAAATATATAATATCTTACATTAATGTAAATTAGTCCTTGACATAAAAAAATAATGTAAATTTATCCTTCAATAAGTAACGAAGATAGACAAAATAAAAAAGAAAACATGATTAAACATTTAAAAATTTAGTGATAAAGTTTTAGTATTAAAATTTGATTAAACGAATAGTTGTATAAAAATATTTAAAATTGACTAACTATCAAAGTTTTAAAAGATGTTTGTTAATATAATATTATTTAAGAATATAAATAAGTCAGATGGAAATTGCAAAAACGCAGAGTTGGTTAGTTGAGTTGCAAATAAAATAAGTTAAATTAATTACTTATAGTTTAAATTTGATTCATGTAAACGAAAATGGTTAAAACTTAACTTATTTGTTCAAAACAATCAAAGTTAAAGTTGACTTAATTTAAAATTTAGAGACTTACATTCGACTTATTAACTTCTTTTTATAACTTAATGCTGTTCGTTATCAATATTTATTTCACAAGTTTTTGTTTATTAATTTAATTTTTAATCTTCATGCTAGAACGTGAATAATAATAATAACACAGTTTTATTTTTTTTAGTTATTTTTGTGAAATATTTAAATTATATTATTATTGAGTGATATCTTTGACACAGTTTAATTTTTTTTTTTTGAAATCTTAAATTATATTATTATTGAGTTATATTTTTTACATTGATTTATTGTTTGTACATTTAAATTTTGCATGCCAATGTAGTTAAGTTTAAAGTAAAATTTTTTCATTAGAAAAAATTTTTTTCCCCTTATTTTTCCCCTTTTTTATTACTAAAATATATTTATACAAAGTTGGTCTAAACATTGGAATTTATGGTGAAAAAAGTCAGGCTACAAACTTGAAATTCTATAAAAGGAATTTTTAAGAGTCTTTTTTTTTGGCTAATAATTTTTAAGAGTCTTTAAGATTTTATAAGTGCTTCATAACATTTTTTTCATGATTTTATGTAATTTAAAATATTTTAGTTGTTGAATGTTGAATATGTCAATGTATAAATATAATTTGAAAAATAAGTATCCAATTTAGCGTTGAATTTATCACATTTTGGAATTTAGAGAAATTTATCTATAAAAAATAATTAATAAAAAGAGCAATAAAAGTTAGTTAATAAATTGATCAATAAATTAAAAATGTCATATCATCAATATTTAATACAAAGTAATAATATTAAATGTTAAGAGTTTAATTAAAAATTTTAAACTCTAAATACTTAATTAAAAAAAATGTAAAGAAACAGTAAGACTTTTGAAATAATAGATTTCTTTAAAAAAATTAATATTAATTTAAAATATGACTTTTGAAAATTTATATTAAAGAAATGATTGAAGGGTATCTTACACTAATTCGTTCTTATTTATTAAATTAAAATGTATATATTTACGAGTGACTTATTTTTATATTATACATATATATATATATATATATATATATATATATATATATATTACAATTCTTCTTTTATTTCCGTTTTAATCTTCATTTCAAATTTTTTTCTTTTTATAAATACAAAATTTCATGTTTTTTAAATTTAATTATGTATATATATATACACCAGTGTAAATCTAAAAACTCTTACGCTCAATCTGAATATTTTATTTAACTTAAATTTAACGGGTTATAATTTATTACTTAACTGACCATTAGATTTAAGTTAAATAAAAAACTTAGATTAGGTGCAAGAGTTTTTAGACTTATACTGGTGTAAGAAGATTCTTTTCCTATATGTATATTATATAATAATTTTTTTAGTAAAAATTACTAAATTTAATATAATTAAATATATTAATACTATTAAATGTTATGATTTTCAATAACAAATTGTAATATATATATATATATATATATATATATATATATAATTTATTAAGTGGTGTAATTTTTTAAGTTTTATTCTAGTGTTAACTAATTTTAAATTAGATATATTGCATTAAAATGTAAATTTAATTTTAGTATATTGTTAGTGTGAAAATCTTTACACTATAACCAATTAAACTATACCATAAAATATGGTATAAAAGTCAATAGTTCTTTCTGATATTAAATTACACTGTAAGTATATTTATTTAAATTCTTTATATTCTCTTATATACTTCACACTGAATTTTGACAAAGAAACTCGTGCAATAAATTGCGCACCACTCACCAGTAATGTGTATCATAAACATAACAATGATTCTAGTGGTGGAGTAAGGAAAAGAAATCAGAAAGTGTAATACTCAACGTCAAGTACTTATTAGATTATATAATACTACAAATTTACAAGAAATATGTTGAGGACAAAGCAAAGAAAAAAAAATGATAAATAATACGATGCAATAAAATAAAATAAAAATATCGTGCAATATATTAAATATAACTGCTGAAAGAGGCAAGAACTACCTCTTAACTTTCCAATGTTAAAGCATTAGGAAGGGTTGTGGGGGGACATTGTATATACTAAACTGAACAAAGGTGTCCCAAACATAGGGCTGCTTCTGCATTTTCATGGCTGATATAAAAGAATGAAGCTTCCTTTTTTATTTTAAATTTTTCTTGGGCATGACCAATCATGAATTTCCTGGGCATTCGAAAAAGACAGAACCAATGGGGTCCCCTGTTGGCTGTTCAGTGTTTTCGACAGATCATATTTTAGCCGTTGAATTTCTTCTATTAACATAACAATCCTTAAAAACCGTGTGTTCTAGCTGTACTTGAATTGAACACGTCAACTACTGTGAATTTCAACACATTCAAACGATGGCTCATTTTTTATTTCCATTAAAACCCCCCATTTGCTTATTTTATTTGTTTGATTTACATTTTTTAAACGGATCCTAATGGAATGCAAAGGAGCGTTTGTTGGGTACATTTTTTAACACAACCCCACTTTCTTTATGCATGTCTTTTGTATCACTTCATCATAAAGAAAACCAAAAAACTAAGAAAACAATCCCTATATAATCTTCTCTTCCACCTTTCACTTTCTCACATCGGGTTTTCTTTTCTTCTGCGAGGTGTACCAAGCCTCGCAGAAACAAGAAATCCATCTCTTTCTCTATTTCATTTTCACTTAAATATAAATATATTCATTATTTATTATTATATAGTTTGAGAAATGGAGGCACATTCTCCTGTTGTAGCCAAGAGACTATGGAATGTGCTGAGGGTGACCTTCTTCATGATTAGGAAGGGGCTCATATCAAAGAGGAAAATGATTATGGACATGAATTTGATGATGAAGAAAGGGAAGCTGGTGATAAAATCTCTGAGCAATTTCATGTATTCCCATCATCATCACCACCACAAAAATGCAGAGAGTGTGGCACATGGTGGCTTTGGGGTACACTATGAATTTTCTTGTAGCAATAGTCCAAATCCTGTTTTTCTCCACATGCCAAAGCGGAAGCATCATTTCAGCTTCCCCTGCATCAATTCCCCTGAGGTTGTGGAAGAGGAGGAGCCTCAATTGTCATTTGAAGTAGAAAACGATGTGCCTAAGGCTGTGGTTATGGTACCCAAGACCCCAGAATACATGTTCAACTTTAGGTTTGATGCAAATGAGTTTGCTTGTGGGGAGAAAAAGAGTCCACTTCTCTCACCATTCTCTGTGAGGGTGTCCAATTACTCAGCTTTGGATGAGAATGAAGAGGTTGGAAATGGGCATGTTGATGATCAGGCTGAGGATTTCATTAGAAGGTTCTATGAACAGCTAAGGACTCAGAGTCCCATGCAATTCCTACGTTACCCAGAGATGTAAAGATGAAGCATTAGTTGTAATGATTCCCTTATTCAAAATGCTCTTGTAATCACTGATCATCAACTAGTTCTTGCAGAGCATTTTTTTAAATATTACTATCTGAAATTTTGCTTTTTGCTGTGGGTGTAAATTGGGTCGTGCTGTTCATGATCCTCAATCGTTTTTGGTCACTGAATATGTTTCTTTTATTCTATAATTGTGTTTCTTTATATATTCTTATTTGTTGTTTTGAGAGTTTAAGTACATCTTAAAATATTTTTTATTTTTAAAAATTAAATGTATTTTCATCAATTCCTTTATAATATTATTCACATAGCATTTCATCACATTCTTGAACAATTAGAAAGTTATTTTACTATGGTTCTGTTAAGTTTTTAAAGATGAGTTTATATATTTAAAAGTGGGAGATTTTTTATATTAAGATATTTATTATATAAATTTTTGTATCATTGTAAAAAATTGTATTTTTAATAAAAAATAATTTAAGATGCTTTAAGCTTTATGCTAAAAATTGAGATTAACAAAATTAATATTACTACAATAATTTTTATAATTAATATAAGAAGAAAAATCAAATTACACCAATGTAAATTGTATACACTCTACACTTTTTATTGGATAATTTGATCTTAAAATCAATCATTATATTAAAGTTTTAAGCATATTGATTATGTCTACAAAATATTATATCAATATAAAATTATTTAATGCTTTATTTATATACATAAAAAATAATATAATATATATTTGCAAAATACATAAAAAATATTTTTTAATTATATTTTTATGATTATTTAATTTTAACAAAATTTGAAACATCCTAAAATAATATATATAATTATAATTCAACTGTTAAATCGATAAAAAAAATATACTTTATTTTTAATTATCAATGATAAAAATAAATATAATTTACAATCGTTTAATTTAATGTTTAGCCTTAATATAATTTTGAAGATGAATTTGTTTAGAAGACAAATAATATTAGGCTAAGAATTATAAAATTTAATCATTGTACATGTTTTTGTTGTTAACATCTGGAATATTAATGTGTTATAAAGGATTCGCAAAACGTCTTTAGACAACATTTTCTTCTGTTTTTTCCTTTTCATATAACAGTGTTTTAGACATGAGACCCCACTCACTCACCAGCTCCTACATTTTCAACTACCGTTACCCCTTTACATGTTAATATTCATTTATTCATGCTATGTCCTCATCCTTATATTGGATGATCTGTGTGAAAGTATAAAATTTGGTAGAGAATGTGAAAGCTAGCTTGCATTTTCAGAGTAGTTGTTATCTTGTCTTGCTGTTGATTGCACGTTTTAACTTTTCAATATTGTAATTAGTAAGGAAAAGAAGTAAATAGATCATAGCAAATTGATGTGATCATGGAGAGAATTAGAGATCACATCAGTATTTTTAAAAAAAAAAGAGAATGATTTTTAAATTTAAATATGTTTAAAAATTAAAAAATGTTATAGAACACTTTTCAGAAGATAAATATAATTTCTGAAAATTGAAAAAAATGTGTCATAAAATCATCTTTTATAAGTTTAAACAAACTAGTCCTTTATTTCCTATCACTTTCTTTTTTACAAGGTCACTTGCTGATAATTGGACTTAGGATTTAGCTTATCAATTGAAGTGCGTTTATGTGTTGGGGAGAATTTATAAATTTGTGTTTCCCTCCCCAGTGACTAGTGTTAATCACTCTATCTTCCATTGGGAACAAGTGCAACAATGATAACTCAATACATGGGGTCGTTTTGTACTGTATTTTCATAAAATTTATTTTGAAAGAATTGAGTTTAAAAGCAATAATTTGGAATCTACTTACTTTCTTGTTCTTATACATTCTCTTAGTTATTAAATAAAGAAAATATTAAATATATTTTATATTTTCATGATAAAGAGATATAACAAAACTCTTAAAAATGTTAATTTTAAAAAAAATTGTGTATGACTGTAATGTTTTAAAAGTGAATTAAAACGACATAATTTTATTTAGTTAAATAAAAATAACTGTTTTTAAAATGTAAATAAAATATAATTTTATAAGTCTTACATATAAAATTAATTAGTCAACTTAAAAAACTTCTCAAAATCAATTATTAACATATTTGTTACCCATTCAAAATTTAAGTGTATTTTAATATATAAATAAGTAAGTAATTATATATATATATATATATATATATATATATATCATATACCATGTTGCTTTTTAGTGAGAGAAATAATAAAGAGAAAGGTCAGTAATATACTTTTTCTACTATTTTTAATTATTAGTTAAAATTTATTAAAAATTATAAAAATCACGTACACTTAACTTTTTTAACTGTTAATTTTTTTTTAGTTTTATAATTTTCAATAAATGTTAACAAATAAGTGTGTTTTTAGTATTTTTCGTAATAGAACTATAATTTATAATCTATTTCATATAATTTTTTAAAATTCTTTTACCTTTTGGTATTATAGTAATTAATGTTAAGTATTATACATTATAAATTTATTTTAAAATTTTAAACTGAACTAACCGTGAGGTTTAAAATCTTGTCTATATAATTCGAGGGAATCGTAAGGTGCTATCATTGATAGAAATTTTGTATGAAAATCTGACAAGAAGACAAATCCTCCTATTTTGTCATAGTAATGAAAATTATTCCTTTTGGTTTCTAGCTAGATTCACCTAATATTTTCATTTGGATTCAAGATGATAAAGAAATGCTTGATAAAAGTTAAACTCTCTCTCTCTCTCTCTCTCTCTCTCCCTCTCTCTCTCTCCCCCCCCCCCTCTCTCTCTCTCTCTCTATATATATATATGTATAACCACATAAGTTATCCATGTACCATGGAACAATGTGGACTAACTTAAGAGATTTGAATTTTTTGTAATTTTAAAACAAAAATAAATGATGTAGTCAAGATTCGTTTAAATGAATCAAACCTTACTGCTTGACAAAATTTGAAGCTCGCTTAAACAAGAAGGACATGCATCACTCAAGTTCACTTATAAAATTAGACTCATTAAAGTGAACTTAAGTCAATTTAATTATTCTTAAACAAAAATAAGACATAAAGCAGGTTTTGGGTCAGGCAAATTAAGAATTGCTTAAGCCAATTATAAAATGTTTAAGTAAAAATAATTAACTTAAACAAAATTTGAATAAAGATAATAGTTTAAAGATAAAAGTTCTAATTTACTTAAGTGAATTTTTATTTGTCAAAGTGAATCTTAAATTACTTAAGTAGATCTTTATTTACTTTGTTGAATTATACAAAAAAAAAAATTTTAAAAAATAACCATAACAATCTATGGAATGGGTAAACTTTTTTTTATGTAGATTAGAATCATAGTATAGAAAACTTTTTTTTATGGGATGAGTAACCGTAAATACTAATTTTTATCTTTATTTTATTTTTTTTCTTATTTTATCTCTTTATTTATTTACATAATAAAATTAAAATTATAAAATTAATTTAATCACTAAAATAAAAAATTTTGACAACAAAAGCAAATAAAAAAAAATTAAAATTTATCAATAACTCCAATAAATTGACTCCAATAAATTGACCCTTTGCAATCTAATCCAATATAAAAAGGGAAAGAAAGTCAATTCAAATAGTATTGTTTTTATGAAAAGTTGATAGTCTTTAAATATAAAATTAATGAATTAAAAAATAACAAATCATAGTCTAGAAAAAGGCTAATAAGAAGATGAAGACTACAAAATTTATAAGGACATTTTGAGAAGAGGGGATAGAAAAATAAAAACTGGGAATAGAGATTGAAAAGAGGAAAGAACAAAAATTAGAAATTTAGAAAAAAAAAGAGATAGATCAACCAAAATTAAGGAAGGAAGAGTATTATAAAAAAAAAATGAATATACAATGAAGAAAGAGAAAGATAAAAATGAAAGGTTAGTAGCATCAAATATGAAACAAACTTCTATATTTCTCTACATACAACTTTCCTTTTTATTCAATTACCATGTAAATTTTATGCACATACTCGCTATATAAAACACGAGACTTAAAAAAAAAAAAAAAAGAGTTTCATTAAATAGAATTTGCCATATTACTCAAAATTCAATTCAAAAGTAGTCAAAATATAAAAATGTAATAAAAAAAATACAATTCATAAATAAAGAAAAAAAATGAAACTAGACTTTCTTTCCCTTTTAAATTGCAAAAACCACGTTAACCACCACTGGAGCAGTTGTTGACCACTGTTAAAATCGTTTCTAAAGTCATTTGAGACACTGTCGGAGTCATTGATGGAGCTTCATTTTTTTCTCTCTTTCTTTGTCACTTTATCTCAACCATCTCTCCCTCTCTCACCTTTGCGCCCTTTTCTCTCTCTTTGTTTCTCTCTCCCCTTCTCTTTTCTTGCAACACCACATCTTTCATTGGCACTACAAATCATTGTTGCAATGACTACCATCTCAAATCGCTGCCCCTCTTCCTTCCTTGCCTCCAAAGAACTTAAAGAACTTTAATTTTGTAAAATCAACGATGTCTTTCAGGGGTCGAGAGGCCTAGGATTCTTTAGTGCATATTTCAATTAGTTTAATTATTTAATTTATTTTAAAAGGTGAAATCAAGGAGTCTTGAAATAAAAATTTGAAAGGAAAATTGAGCTCATGAAGTCCAAAAAAATATTGGGTTGATGTTCATGTGGTAAAAAAAAAAAAAGGAGTTTGGTCTAACAACAACAACTCCTTTCAACTTTTTCTGTGTTATCATGGGAGCAATTTTCAAAACTCTATTAATCAAGAGTTCATATTGAACATAAATTCAATCTAAGATCTGACACATGTATAACATCATTCACAGTAACTCTACATCCAACATCTATTTCCATTTGAACATTACTAATACCCATAATCAGTAATATTGGTGTTCTCCATCTTTATAGTGCCAAAATCATCGGCTTCATATGTTGTGAAAATATCTCTATGATGAATAGCATGACAAGAAGTTATAGTATCAAT